ACTCGGGAGGCTGAGGCAGGAGAATGGCGTAAACCCGGGAGGCGGAGCTTGCAGTGAGCTGAGATCCGGCCACTGCACTCCAGCCTGGGCGACAGAGCCAGACTCAGTCTCAAAAAAAAAAGAAAAAGAAAAAGAAAATTGTCCAGGCTTGGGAAATCTCCTACTCATCTGGCAAGAAGGGCAATAACAAAAATAGCAGCTCCCAGAAAGGGGGCACAGACAGGTTAAAGGAGCTCTAGCTGGTTCCTCTAAAGATGGGAAAAGCTCCAGAGATGGAAGGCACTCTATGGCTGCATTTGCTGATTTTGCAGACAGCAAGGTGAAAAAGGGAATAAACCAAAGAACAAAACCTACAGAAAGGCTGGGGGAAAACAACAGCACGGAACAGGAGTGGTAGGAGTAAGAACGAGGGAAATGCATGGCTACCTTGTGACCCAGAGCAGTACAGGGAGGTGGGGAGGAGCAGTGCCCTGGGGACCCCGGCAGGCAGAAGTGTCTAACCTGAAGCCATGGGTCTCCCAGCGGCCCAGGGCAGCCTGCAGCTGACATGATTGGACTGGGTATTCCCTCCCTGGAGAAGTGAGACGTGAATAAACTGAAAACAATTAAAATGGTGGTGGGCTGCAGTCTCTTCCTGCAGAGGAAAACTGGTGCAACCTGAAGAGGGGCACACACGAAGGCAGCAGAGGAAAGCAGACTTTTGGTGGAGCTCATGGGAGCACTACGGGATCACATCCAGGAGCTAAGGGAGAAAGGCGGCCAGAGAATGCCTCTTCTATACAGGAAATGTATAGGCTCACAGGGTTCACGTCAGTCCCTTTAGAGCTTGAAGCATCAGGAGGCTAGAAACTGAGAGAAAGGAGGCTTGGATGGCTGCTAGAAACTGGGCAGAGTTTGAAGAGGAAAGAGAAAGGTTGGAGCTTCCTTTCAACGTGGCTTGTATCTTCCATCCACATTTGGACTCTGGCTTGTCACCACCATGCCTGCCTCTGCAGGGTGGGAGATGGGAAGTAGCTCAAGCCTGTGGCAATTCAGTTGCAGCCAAGCCTACAACAATACCAAAAATCAATCTCAGTTAGAAAATATATAGCCTTTTTTTGTCTTTGCATAGGGAATCACTTCAAAAGAATAAAATGTAATTAAAATCAGAAAGCAACAGATCAACAGATGACTTCACAATTTTTTTTTTTCTTTTCTTTTTGAGATGGAGTCTCACTCTGTCGCCAGGCTGGAGTGCAGTGGTGCGATCTGGGCTCACGCAACCTCTGCCTCCTGGGTTTAAGTAAATCTCCTGCCTCAGCCTCCCAAGTAGCTGGGACTACAGGCGCGAGCCACCACGCCCAGCTTTTTTGTGTGTTTTTAGTAGAGATGGGGTTTCACCATGTTGGCCAGGA